GTTGATCGCCTTGTGTCAGTGGAGGGTAAAGTCAATGGAGTGTTTTTTAAGATTTTCGTTGATGGAGATGGGGAGTCACAGTCTCATACAGCTGGACAGACTAAAAAATTGGGTATACCCTTACTAAGGTGTTTACCTGAAATTGGCGCTCGACTGGTAGATGGCACGCCGATGGCAATACAGGAGCGGGTGGAGAACATAAGCTTTACATGTAAAGAGCACATAAAATTTCGGATGGGGCTGCTGGCGACGACCCTTGACGGATGCGACGTGCTCCTTGGATGCGATTGGTTGCGAAGGTACAACCCGAAGATCGATTGGACAACCGACGGTTGCAGCATCAAGGTCGATGGGATTTCTTGCGAGCTGCCCAAGTGGACGGGACCTCGCATGCAAAACACCCAAGTCCACACAATCACCTTCAAGAAGGCGTTGCGGGTTGGAGCCGAAGTGTACATCATGGATCTTTGTGAGATGGCACCGACAGTAAGACGAAGACATTGAGAAGCTGTGCCAGGCTTTCCCTCCGAAAATAGCGGATCTGATTCGGAAGTACCCATAGATTTTTCTGAATGACCTGCCAGCTGGACTCCCACCGAGCCGACCTGAGGACCATATGATTGAGCTGGAACCAGGCGCCTAACCGATTGTACTGTGTCAATTTCGACATAGCCAACTAGAACTGGACGAATCACAGCAACAGCAGGATTATCTTCTAGAGAAAGAATTCATCCGACCCAGCACGTCGCCATACGCCGCCCCGATAGTGCTCACGCTGAAAAAGGATGGAGGATTTTGAATGTGTGCTAACTACCGCGCGTTCAACAGGATCACAAGCAAGTCGCGTTAGGCGATCCCGCGAGTTAAGGAGCTTCTCGGCCAACTTCGCGGAGCCAGGTTTTTCTCGAAGATCAATTTGCGAAGAGGTTACCACCAAATTCGCGTCGCCGCTGAAGATTGTTACATTACCGCCTTCCGAACTAGATACAGCATCTATGAGTACCCAGTTATGCCTTTTGGCCTCATGAACACACCCTCGACTTTCCAGATGACCATGAATGGATTTTCCAAGGAACTCTTGGACACATGCATCATCATCTACCTCGACGATATTTTGACCAACAGCAGAAGCAGGGAGCAACACTTAAAGTATCTGCCTAACGCGATGCTGCACAAGAACTGCCTCATCACCATAGGGTCAAAGTGCAAATTTCTTAAGCAAGAGTCGGAGTTTATGGGCCACATCGTCTCTACTGAAGGAGGAAAAATCGACCCGAAGAAGATCAAGACCATACAGAAGTGGAAGCCGCCGCACACCGTCAAGGAGCTGTAGAGTTTTTTGGGATTCGTATATTACGTCTGCCGCTTTATCCTCAATATGGCTAGGTTATCCGCCTTGCTAACTGACCGATTGAAGGATCACGATTGTTTTTTGTGGGGGGAGAAGCAGCAAGCTGCATTTGACCAACTGAAGATCGCCCTCATGTCGGCGCACGTCCTTTGCATCTCCGATCCTGACCGTCCATACGAAGTCATCATCGACGCAGTGACATCGCCATCAGCGCGGTTCTCCTACAAGATTTTGGTGAAGAGTTATAGCCAGTCGCCTAAGTATCAAAGGAAATTGCAGGGCGCAGAGAAAATTTATACAGTACACGACAAGGAGATGTTGGCGATCACCCACGCGTTCAAGACCTGGCGGTGCCACCTGATTGGCGCTGACATCACCGTGCGAACCGACCACAAATCCCTATAGTACCTGCGATCCCAACCGAATCTTAACCCACGACAGATCCGCTGGCTTTATTTCCTCGAGTCAAATTTCCACTACACCATCACCTACAAACGGGGCGCCAACAACATTGCTGATGCCTTAACCCGATCCACTGCCCACACAGTCGCCATACTAGTCGCCCAAACCAGCCCACTCCTTACAGGACTAATTACCCACGGCTACAAAATCGACCCATTCTTCCGCTCCGCCATTCACCAACAGCATACAACTGCTACTGGACATTAGTTCACTAAGAACGACACTTCCCGCATTTGGGTTCCTGGCTGCTATTTACTTCGTACCCTCCTAATCCAGGAATCCCACGACCAGTGCCTCAGATTCGTTCTGGGGCACGCTGATCGCTCAGTGTCCCCACCTCGTAGCTCCCTGTTTTTTCAGGCCTCGCAAAAAAAATTAGGGTGTTGTATATTTTTTGCGCTGAATAAACAGGGCCAATTATATAAAACATGCTGTTTAAAACCCGACGACAAAATACTAGAGGGGGGTCCCTCTTGATTGTTGACTGGGTGCAAAAAAGTCCTAAAACCTGGCGAAAAAAACGAAACGTCCAAGTGCCCCGAAATTTGTAACTGTCCGAAAACAAAAGAGGATTGCACAAACCCTATTGGTTGCGCGAGAGTATTAGCCAATGTGGGCTCGAGGCGAAAAAATATTGACAGCCTGGCGCGTCGTGCAGCCCCCCTGCGACGTTTGTCGCAGGCCACGTGGGCCTCGCCTTTTTCTGCAGGGGGGTTCAAGAGGGACCCCCCTCTGCTATTTATGTTTTTTTGCATTCCATGGGCGAAAACCAAGTGGGGCCCGTTTGGACGTGGCAAAATCGCGTGCCACGTTGTGCAGCCCACAACGCGCGACGCAAAACGAGATTCGTACGGTACAGTGTCGCGTCAAATATGCCACCTAGGTTTGTTCTGAGTATCGAACAGTGCGGGCTGCTGCTCAGCTCCGAATAAAAAAACGCACCTCGATACACAAGGGGTGCTGATCAAGAGGGGTCCCAACTTGATAACCCCCTTGCTAATTTGTCGTCGGGTTCCTGAATACATGCCCAGTATTGGTTACAGGTTCCTGATTACAGTCTTGGTCGGTCACAGTAAAGTTGGCGTGATTGACAGGGAGGGTGGGGGGGAAATTCGGAAATAACGGGTGGGGGGGTTGGGGCCCAGAATCCGCTATTACACGTAGTATCAGGGTCAGTCCCCAATACGACGCTGGAAAAACAGGCCTCACTACACTAGTCACACTGATCGATCAGAGTTCACTTCTAAAAAAACGCTGAAATTTCAGGCCCGTGTTAATAAAAAAACCCTGTCTCATCAAGGTCACCCCCGAAAACAGCCCAGATTTTACCCTGAATCAGGGTAAAAAGCCTGCAATCTGAGGCCCTGCCCACGACTATCCAACCTCCGGGCATTTCGGAGTTGACAAAACCATGAAGACATTGCAGCACAATTATGACTGGCCGAACATGGCTGACGACGTGCGCAAGTACGTGTCCTCCTTCACCGCCTGCCAAATCATGAAGTCATCCCATCATCAAGCAGCCGGACTCTTACAGCCATTGGATCCGCCCAAGCGACTTTGGCAACACGTCACGATGGACTACGTGACAGGATTGCCAGCCGGTCCCAGCGAAAACAACGCCATCCTCGTGGTCATTGACCGACTCACGAAAATGGCACACTTCATCGCCTACCAACAAAAAATTACAGCTTAGCAAACTGTCCAACTGTTCATCGCCAACGCCATCAGACTTCATGGACTGCTCGCCGCCATTATTTCTTACCGAGTCCCGAAATTCACATCGAATTTCTGGCGCCACCTGTGGGACCAGTTCGATAACAAACTACAGTTTTTCTCCACTTACCACCCTCAGACTGACGGGCAGACCGAATGAGTCAACCAAACTATGGAGCAATTCATTCGAACTACATGTACTGACCCACAGACCAGGGATAAATCCCTTCCACTGCTGGTTTTCGGTATAATAATGCGTCTTCCATAACAACCCATCAATCCCCATTTTCCCTAAACTACGGACAAGACCCTGTGGTACCCTCCACACCCAACATCGAGACCCCCGTGCCTTGGTCCCAGCAATTTGCCGAAGATATCTTAGCATTCCGAGAAAAAGCAGCGGAGGCAATCCGAAAAGCCAGCCTGGGTGCAAGCCGACAAGTCGATCGCCACCAACGTGACGTCACCTAAAAATTGGGGGACCTCGTGCTACTCAACACTCGCAACTTGTGTCTGCCGATTCCAAGCAAACTACGCCCTCATTTTCAAGTGACCACTAGTCACAGCTCATCTTCGACTCCCGGCTGATTGGTGACACCACCCGGCTTTCCATGTCAGGCTCCTACGAACCTACGTCACGAGTTTGTCAGATTTGGCACGTCATCGAATCGTCCCGCAGCTGACGCCCCTGCAGGAACCAACTACCGAGCCTCTGAAGATTTTCGGTCACCACGTCACCACGCAGCAGAACCGTCAGATGGTGATTTTTCTATTCCTCTGGCGTGATCAGGCGTCTGAGGATGACAGCTGGGTGCCCCTCGCTGATATACAATTACACCCGATTCTAACATCGTATTATCAGCGTGGAAATGTTTCCGATGCTTGCGACCTCGTTAAGGAGGGGGGGTAGTGTAAGGAATTTCCATTCCTTCCGGAGTCGTACACGTTAGAACGACTAACTTAGCTAGGAAAGTAGGCGGCCATGAAATGGCGAGAGGTTAAGGAGCTAGGAGAGGAAGTTTACGAGAGAAAAGAGAGTTGGAATAGAAGAGAGAGAGGCATACAAGGAGGGAGTTGTACCCTCTACAGTAGAGTTCAGTAACACCTACCAAGCCTACAATTATATAACAAATATAATTTAACACACCCCCTAGGCTTGGTAGTGGCAAGCCCACACACACACACACCTCCTAACCTAGCACCCCCATACTCAGTAGCAGCGATTGCTACTTCAGCACGGTCAACCCCACGGCGCGTGAGGCGTGGCGACGTCGACAACGATGACAGCGGCTGCAACGGCGGCGACGGCGGCAGCGTCGACAGCGGCGGCGCCGGCGGCGTGCGGCGGCGTGGCCAGTGGCACCAGCTGCGGCGGCGGCGGCGGCTTCGACGACAGCTGCCGGCGGTGGCGGAGCTCGCAGCATTCGGCGGGGTGGCTGGGCTCTGCGACGGTGGGACGGCCGGCGCGAAGTAGCGGTCGGCTGCGGCAAGGAAGAGGGGACGCAGGGGAAGGAGGGCGGGGCTGCAGCAGCGGAGCCCGGGAGCGTGCCGCCCCGTGTGGCGCGCTGGCTACACGCGGGCGTGCTGGCCAGCTCTAAGAAGAGGCGCTGGCCGATGCCGTCCGTGCCGTCCGCGCGCTGTCGCGTAGACGCCGCGGCAGCACGACGGCGCCATCACGCCGCCACAGTTTGTCGTCGGCGCCGACGCCGCCGCGGCTTGACGTCGACGCCACGGCAGCGCGTTGTGACGGCCGCAGCAGCACGATGCGGCCGGCGGCACGATGGCGCGGCCATGGCAGCACGACGCGGCCGCCATGGCAGCGCGAGAGAGAGAGTAGAAGAGCGCAGCGGAAGCGTGAGGAGCAGGCCAACAAAGAACGAAAAGCTCTGATTCCATGTTAGAAGGCTAACTTAGCTCGGAAGGAAGGCGGCCATGAAATGGCGAGAGGTTTAGGAGCTAGGAAACAGGAAGTTGATGAGAGAAATGAGAGTTGGAATAGAAGAGAGAGGCATACAAGGAGGGAGTTGTACCCTCTACAGTAGAGTTCAGTAACACATACCAAGCCTATAATTATATAACAACAGTATGCTAGCGCGTACACCCGAACTCCTCAACTTGTCACGTTTGCCCTCATTTGTTGGCCCAACACTTTCTTGAGTCGCGTTCGGCACTGTCGCCACATTGCCGAACCTAACCACGTCCCGTGGTTATCGCCCTAGCACGCCAACCCCTATATAGCCTCGTGCCTTCATTGCAATAGCGACATTGGATTCTCATGGTAGGGTATTATTTATTGACACTTATATCATAGGAGTCGCCAGGTCTATTACAATGTAGCGGGCGAAGCAGATCTTTATAGTATGTCCAAAGCCTACGTTCGATTGCAGTTGGGCAGGGCCTCAGATAGGATTTTGGGCATCCTGACCAATCAGGGCTGGCCTCCAAAAAACCGTGTAGCACTCAGGGCTGGTTGCCTATCTTCATACTAATTCCTCAGGGTGGTTCCCCAGTTTATACTATGACCTCAGGATAAATTCAAAAACGTTGGAAATGTTGGTCACATTGCACTGCAGCAGGATACTAACAAGCTGTCGGTCGGTACTTCATGTTTTGCGCTAGCTTAGCCACTATTGGTCAAGCTTGTAAGATTTGGCGAAAATCTGCGCACGCAGCAAATCAGGCCGGGAAAAATTCCGACACTCTGATTGTCCAGGGCCTGTTCTTATGTGACGCGATGTCAGGCCACTTTGTGACATTCTGGATTTTGCTTGTCAAATTTGATTGTCAACGCAGTCTTGAGACGAATTAGCGAGACTTGTGTCGACATTGGGACAACCCTCAGTTGAAAAATGCCACGTCTGAATTTTTAGACGAGAGTCGAAGGCATGTGGGCGAACGTGAAACAGTTGCCGTCGAGCTGTTCTGACAGGCCGTTTGAGTTTGGATGTTGGAGAGCTCGAGGGAATTTTGGGCATTACGAATTTGATGGCCAAGATCTGTTCAAGTGAAGTGACAAGAATTTGGGCCGTTCGATCGTCGACGAGAGTCAATCGTATGCAGAGACTTTGGGGGGTTTGAATACAGTGTGTGCGGAAGACTACGCTAAAATTTCTAGCTCGCCGAGATTTTAGGGTTGAGGGGGGTTCGTGGAGGATTGTCTCTAGCATTGATGACTTCACCGAAAATTTAGAATAGCGGGGGGGGGGGTTGGGTTTCGTTCGAGGATTGTCTCTAGCATTAAGAACTTAACCAAAATAGAGTGGCGTGGGGCTGGTTGGAGGATTGACTCTAGCATCGAGGACTAAGCTGAAATTTGTTTGGGCGGAAAAACACAAAGCATGCGCCCGTGGGGCACGTGCATTTGCAAGATTTGATGAATCAGGGTTGTCCCCGAAAGCATACTGACACTTCAGGGCTAGTACACGAGCACTATACTTAAACTTCAGGGTTGCACTATGACTTACTTAAAACTGAATTCACATGGTGGAAAATGACCTTAAACTGAATCTTCAAGATTGACCCCTAACAAGCATTCTGAAAATCAAGAATTCATGATAAAACATCCTGATATCTAAGGGGCTGCAGTTGGGTGAGATGCTCTCCGAGGCTGAAGGATATCTGACACGGTTTGCGGTTGGAGCGAAAACGAAACTCGAGGTTCACCCATTTAGTAGTTCGACTCGCATTTGTTTGGGTGTGCTTCCTATGTTGAAAATTGAAGTACGATATGTGGACGTCTCAAAGGTGAATAAAAAATAATTGATTCGTCATTTACACGGATACAACTGTTGCTGTTGCATATTTTGGGTGAGATGAAAAAAAAAATCACTTATGTTTTGGCTGTCACTTAGTACGCACAAGCACACAGCTCCAAATAGCTGCACAACACAATATCTTGCGTGGAAGGCAGAACCGTAGAAGGGATTGTAAAAAACGGACCGATTCCAGTTCCATTTGTGAAAACCGTTGTGTGATTTTAAAGGCATAATATGTGATCATACCAGTTCCTTATCTATGTTTCATGAGCTACATGATTGGGAAGGGAGGGATATGTGATAGAAGCAGGTTTGGAAGGTGTTTATGAAGAGATACAGTCAGAGGCTGGGAGTGCTTTACAACGGGGTCAGCTGTCTGTAGTCCCGCCGACAAATATTCGACTCTCAGATTCAGAAGCTGCTGCCTGACTACAGCATGTGGGCATTGTCGTTTTCCGTGAAAACCCCACCGACACCACCACTCGTTTCTGTCAGCATGCAAACGCGTTTCGCCTCACGTCTGAGTGATAATTGCACAGAAGCTCGCAATGGCGAGGCTGCTGGGGAAGTCCTCCGCTCTTCTCCGAGCCTGATCGGACGGAATTGAACGCACGAGGAACGGTCTGACTGAGCCAGCAAGCTTCGTTCGTTCGAGGTTTGTTCGAGGTTTGGTTGGGGGAGGGTGTCGGTTGGCTAAACCCGAGGAGCGGTGGAGGGGCGGTGAGAAGGTGAACCTTCTCACGAACTACACGTTGGTCGGTGTCGTTCTTGCGATCGACCCAGTGGCGGCAGTACCCGTCCGAACCAACAAATTCCCCTCCCGTACCTGCCAGCATTGCCTGGTCGCATGAGGGGGGTCGTGAAACTGCACATTTTCGCAGAGAAGAGCAGACAGACTTCCGCGCCTTCTCCCCCGAACCCCGGATGTCCTGCGAGTCAAACCCGCAACGTCCCATCCATCATCCATCTGTCCCACATCCTCCCAGCCTCCAGGCTGGGTTATGCCGATTTCCCCGTGCCCTTGTCTGCATCCCACTGGACGAGCAATGCTATCGCTGAGTGCCCCGCCTCCTCCCCAAACCCACCCCCCACCTCACTTCTGCCGCCAACCGCAATGCGCAATGCGCAATGCGCCATTTCACGGCTTTCTGAGATGATCAGCCGTCCAAACCGGCGCAACCGCATTCCCCTACGCTGACTGGCGACCGCCCCAATCTCTCCGTAACCGCACCCTCCCTCCAACCACGCCAAGCCTCTCCTCGCTGCGCCTAGACCTATCCGCGTTGATTTCACCTTCCGCCACAGCTCCCTCCGTCCCCTGCCCAGCCTCCACCGCGCTCCTTCCTTCCCACCACCGTCTCCTCTCGTGCCGCCTCCAGCAAGCACAGGGCTACTGTACTGTGTGCAGTACTGCGCGACCTATTCCAGTTTTTCCCCTTCCGCACTCGCCTCCGCTCCGCACCCTTCAATAATCCCCCCTCGCCCTCGCCTCCGCTCCGCCTCTTCCCCGCTCCGTCCGTTGAGCTGCGGTCTTTCCAACCTTCATATGCCTGAAACCCTTGCTCGAGCCACAAACTGCCCTCCCACACAGCCAATTCCTAGTTCTGTTCCTACCTAGTCTTTTTTCCGAGTTATCTCAAGTTCCTTGGTTTGCCTAAGGCACTGAGCTGACATTCCCAAAGGCATCAACCCACAGCGAATACTAGAGCTTGATCTTACGAACGCTTCACTCTGAATCTTTCGTTTTTTTGTCAGATCTAGTCATCATCATGCATAAGAATCAGCTTCAGGAGGTGGCTCAGAAGAACGGCTATAACCTCCCCTCATACGCATGCATTCGCGAGGGCCCAGACCACGCCCCGAAATTCAAAGCCACAGTCCTTTTCAACGGCGAGACTTACGTAAGCCCGGGTTACTTCGTATCGCTCCGCCAGGCGGAGCACGCAGCGGCGGAGGTGGCCCTCAGGAGCCTCTCCGAGTGCAGCCCGTCGCAGTCCATCGCCACAGTCCTCGACGAGTCGGGCGTCTGCAAAAACTTGTTACAAGAAACGGCGCAGCGCGCAGGCGTGCCGCTGCCAAATTATAATACCGTGCGGTCGGGTCCCGGGCACCTGCCGGTGTTCACGTGCACGCTGGAGGTGGCGGGGCTGCAGTTCTCGGGGGAGGCTGGGCGGACGAAGAAGCAGGCGGAGAAGAATGCCGCACTGTCCGCCTGGTTCGCGCTGAAACGACGTAAGTGCCTCTCAATGTTCAAGAATCACTCGCAACGCCCTCACGTTCTTTCACGTTTCCGCTTAGGTGTTCGTCAGCGGCTGTCGACAGGACACGGATTGTCTCCGTGTATTACGATTTGTTAAAGCTAAGCGACTTCTCTTCAAGCAGTTGCTAATCTCTCCGTTTTTCTTCTTTCTTCCTTTTCTTCGTGCAGATGCCGGCCGCAATCAGACGGGTCCCATGGAGGACTTCGACGTGACGGACGAGCAAGAGCAGAGCTCTATCGCGCGCGCTCTCGCCAACGCGTACAACGCAAGCGCCATTAAGAGCAGCCCCGCTATTCTCTCGCACCCGGCAGACGTTTCCCACTGCGCGTACCTCCCCTCGCCGTCCCCCAAGGGCATCGCGTCCGCGCCGCTCTACACGCGCAACCGCAGCTCCGTCTCGCAGAAGCCCAACCCAGGTCCCCTCTACGTGCCGCGCCACGTCAGCGCCGGCCGGACGTCAGAGTCTGGTGCTGGCAGCAGCAACGGCCGCATGATGACGTCATCGTCGTTCAAGATGCGTGAGGTGACCATCCGCGAATGTTCCGTCGAGGATTCGCTTCCGGAGACCCTCGGGAGCATCATGGGTGCGCCTCCGCAGTTCCCGCGCATGACCCACTCCAGCCCGCACATTGAGCCGCCGGCGCCGACGTACACTCGCCGGTCGGCTGCCGGCCGGTCGAACGGTTCTGCCGACATCGGCAGCAGCGTGCCGAACTTCCCCACGCAGCCGCTTGTCTCCCAGTCCGTGCCACGTCAGCCTGGTCTCGGTCTCCCCCAATCGGAGCAATCCGCGGGGAGTCAGACCTCTCGCTACACGAACATAGCCATCAAGCCCGGTATGGCGTATCAGCCGCGGTCGGCGCGCGGAGGGCAGTCTAAGCCTAACTACAACACCGGAACTTCGTCGTATGTCGCTGCGGAACGGATGGACAACGCCGTAAGCGACGGGCGCTGGACGCACAACAGTCGCCCAATGAGCTCGAACGGGGGGGGGTTGCTCCCGAACCCCACGGACGTATCGGGTTCTGCCACGTGGAACACGAGGCAGTCCAGCAGCATGCCGTATTGGCCCGTGCAGTCTGCTATGGGTATGCCGTCGTATAGCCGGCCGGTGTCCGGTTCCTTCGCTGGCGGTAGGACTGGTGGGCTTGCGGCTGGCGTGGGCGGCAGCGGAGATCCCAAGGGGAAGCAGTGCCGCACCGAGCTGGAGGAGGACGTCTCCGCGGCTGAGGCGACCACCCGCCAGATGCTCAACCACCTCTGCTTGTGACGGGGGACGTTTCATTGATGCTGCACAACAGCAGTTTAGCGTGAATGCTTGAGGATTTTCCTCCCCCCATCTAACCCCCCCACTCCCCCTATCGTATCTCGTTCATATGTTGAAGGGGAGAACTCTCTGCGAGTGATACCTCACTCCCCTAACCATGCACTTCTCTCTGCACCTCCATTTTACAGCACCGGCTGTAGTGGCAGTGCATATTTAGGGGACTGTCAGCTCAATACTTGGCAACTGAACATGTTCACTTTGTTATGGAATCTCAATAAGGGTGTCTTTCTTTCTTTGCCTGTTAGTGCTACCACCACTGGTATCCTTCTTGACACAGCTAAACACCAGGGTTCCCCATAGCAGACGAAATCCGTCTGATGGTCTGAAAATCAGACCCGTTTTTTGCTGTTCATCTGATTTTCGGACGGGGTCTAATATTTCGTCTACTTGTTATAAAATTTCGTCTGAATTCACAGACTTCAGTCAAGCGGTTCATCTGAGATTTCAGATAGCGAGGATATTCTCGTCTGACAGCGACAATTCTGTCAAACATGTATATCTACTATGTTTGCATAGACTGAATAGAGTCATGTCTTATATAGGGTACAACTCTTAGGTATATTCATATGTTCTCTCTCTTTTAATTGATTCTTCTACTCTGATATGGTATCACGCGTAGGTTTCGACCCCGACCCCCCCCCCCCCCCCACTTATCGCTTCCGCTCCTACCCTCGCTAGGCCCCGCCGCGCCCCTCCTGGGCCCTTCGTCTCTCGTAGCCCAATCGCGCCTCCCTGGGCCCTACCGTGCCTCCTAGCTCAGACGCGCCCCTTCTGGGCCCAGTCGCTCCTCCTAGCCCAGCCGCGCCCCTCCTGGGCCCCGTCGCCCCTCCTCGCCCAGCCACGCCCCTCCTGGGCCCTATCGTGCCTCAGAGCCCAGTCGCGCCCCTCCTGGGCCCCTAAAGCGCCTCCAAGCCCCGTCGCGCCCCTCCTGGGCCCTAGCGTGCCTCCTACTCCGGTCGCGCCCCTCCTGGGCCCCTAAAGCGCCTCCTAGCCCAGTCGCGCCCCTCCTGGGCCCCTAGCGCGCCTCCTCGCCCGTTCGCGCCCCTCCTGGGCTCCGTCGCGCCTCCTAGCCCAGACGCCCCTTCCTGGGCCCTGTCGCACCTCCCTGCTCTGTCGCGCCCCTCCTGGGCCCCGTCCCTCCCTTAGCCCCGTCGCGCTCGCCCGGCCCCCGTCGCGCCTGCCCGGCCTCCGTCGCGCCTGCTCGGCCCCGTCGCACCTGCCCGGCCCCGTCGCGCCTGCCCGGCCCCCCCGTCGCGCCTGCCCGGCCCCGTCGCGCCTGCCCGGCCTCGTCGCGCCTGCCCGGCCCTGTCGCGCCTGCCCGGCCCCGTCGCGCCTGCCCGGCCCCCGTCGCGCCTGCCCGGCCCCGTCGCGCCTGCCCGGCCCCGTCGTGCTCGCCCGGCCCTGTCGCGCCCTGCCTAGCCCCGTCGCGCCCTGCCCGGCCTCGACGCGCTCTGCCGGGCCCCGTCGCGCCCTGCCCGGCCTCGCCGCGCCCTGCCCGGCCTCGTCTCGCCCTGCCCAGCCTCGTCGTCACAGCCCCGGCCCTACATCCTCCCTGGTACTGTCCCCCGTTCCCTGCACCGCTTTGCACCGCACTGCACTTCCTTGCCCCGCACTGCACCGCACTGCACCGCACTGGACCGCACTGCACCGCATTGCACCGCACTGAACCGCACTGCACCGCACTGCACCCCACTGCACTGTTCTGCACCGCCCTGTCTAGTCCTTCCCTGCTCCTGATGGCGGCGGAGCTTCGCTTCGATGCTGAAGGTCAGCCACTGGAGTTCGAGGCGTGGCTTGCCGACCTCCGCCGCCACCTCACCGGCCAGCGGCAGGATGGCCACCCGCTTTCCGCACACCTTGACGGTACGCTCCCCTGCCTAGACCCCTCTGCTGTGCTGCCCGCCGACCCCACACCCGCTGAGCGCGAGCCCACTGCCGCCGCTGCCCTAGCACGCTCTGTCTAGCTTTCCCGAGACGCTGTTGCTCAGCTCGCCATTAGCAATGCCCTTCCCCCGCCTGAGCGCCCTCGCTTTAGGTCCATCACTACCGCCCAGGCCTACTTAGATGCTGTCATCAAGCGCTATTCTGCCCCCCCTGCTGCCTCCGTGGGTCGCCTGATCCTCCCGATGCTCTTTCCTGACCTTGCGTCTTTCCCCACTGTCTCTGACCTAGCTGCCCACCTGCGCTCGATAGATGAGACCTGGCGCGCTGCCTGCACTGATGCACAGCTTAGAGCCCACCAGCCGCCCATGACCTCTACCCTCTACCTGCTTGCCACCCGCCTCCCTGACCGCCTTGCCGCCGCCCGCGACCAGTTCCTTAGCATTCACCCCGCTGAGCTCACCCTCACCGACTTCGTAGACACCCTGACTGTTATAGAGACTTGCCACCGCTCCATCGCCCAGGCGAGCGGTACCGTGCCGGTCCCTATCTTTCAGGGTTGTGCCCCCGCTCAGTGTACCTTCTCTGACGGCTCTGTCGCTGTGGCTGAGACTGCTGCAGCCGCACAGTTTCGCTCGGGGAAGGGTCGCCGCCCCAAGGCTGGGAGCGGCGGGGGAGGCGGGGGTGCAAGAGGGGGTGGTGGTGGAGTCGGGTCGTCTGGTGCTGGAGCGGACGAGGGGACGCTGCCCAGTCCGGCTGACCCACTGCCTCAGCAGCCGCAGCAGCAGTCGACACAGCCGCAGCCTCCGCAGCAGCCCCAGCAGCCGCCGCAGACGAGGCATGCGAGTGCCCTCCCACCCGGGTGGCCTGGAGCTGGTAGTGGCCGTGCGCGTGGTGGTGCGCCAGGTGGTGGTCCCGGAGGCGTGCGCTGTCAGTACCAGATCCAGACCGGTCCGCGCCGCGGCTTCGTTTGCGGTAAGATCGGTCATTCCACTCCTCGCTGTTTTCGTCGCCTGGACGACCTGTTCCGTCAGCGCTTTGGCCCGTCGCCCGACCTCCCGGACCGGCACAGTTTGCTTAGGCATAGTATTCAGATTTTTGACTTGGACATGGATGCCATTGTAGCTGCCCTGCATGTGATGTATGCTGATGACTCTAGTGTGCTTTCTTCTTATTACCCCGTGTTGCCTAGTGTAGGTGTGCCTAGCGTAGACTCCCCTGCTGCGTCAGGCGTAGGATCCCCTGCTTTGTGTAGCCTCGGTGCTTCCACCGCTTCTCCGCCGCCACGCGCCACTGCTCCACTTTTCTTCACCTTGGACTCTGGCGCTTCCCGGTGTTTCTTCCGCGACTCCACTACGCTGACGCCGCTTCCTGTTCCTGCTGCCGTTTCTCTTGCTGACCCTCCGGTGGTCCGGTCGTAGCCCGCAGTTCCACCTCCCTTCCCTGTCCGGCGGTTCCTTCGGGTTCGCTCACAGGCCTGCATATCCCCTCGTTCTCCAGGAACCTAGTTGGTGTCGGCTGCCTCCAGGACCTTGGCGTCACCACTACGTTCCTTGGGCACGAGCGGTATGCTGTCTGTACCGAGGCCGCCACTGGTGCCCCCCTTACAACGTTCCCCCGGGACCCGGTGTCCGGCCTGTTCACACTTGACACCATGACTTCCCTGGCTGGGACGTCCCCCCAGGTGGCTGCGTCTACTCAGGTTGCTGCTGCTTGCTCCTGTTGGTCCCTCACTCACCCGACACTCCTTTGGCACTACTGCCTTGGTCACCCTGCGCTCCCGCGTCTGCGTCACATGTCCCAGCATCCGCCTTGGTCTCCCCGGTCGAGGAGTCTTCTGACTCTGGTAGTCCCTCGGCGCAGTCCTCGCCGCCAGTCCCTCCCCGCTGTCTCCACCTCCACCGCCTCCGCAGCCGCCGTCGCCACAGCTGCAGCAGCTGTCGTCTCCGCGCCGCCGTCGCAGCAGTTGTTGCAGCCGACGCCGCCGCCGCTGCCGCTGTCGTCGCTGCCGCGTTCGTGGACTCTGGGGTTGCTGCGTTGAGGTGGGTACTCGTCCCGGGGCTCCTGTCGTGGCTTGTCCGGCGGGACTGGGGGTGGTACCGGCGCTGGCGGGTTTCGGGCTCTGGGGGTGTCCCTTCTGGGGGTGCCGGTGTGGAGGGTTCGGGAGGTAGCCGTCGCGCAGCTTGCGGCCCTGGTGTTGGTGTTGTGTCGCAGCAGCAGCAGTCCCCGCCGGTGTCCGCCCTTCGTCTGCTCGGCCTTCCGTCCCTGACCCTGCGCCTGTTCCTCTCCTGCCGTTCTCCTCTTCCCGTCTACGGCCCCGTGTTCCCTCCGCCGGACTCGTCCCCGGCTCGTTTTCCCCCTCGTTCCCCACCCGTGTCCCCTCCTCTGTCTCCTGACCCGACGCCTCCCTCACGTCTGGTCTCGCCGCCCTCCCGTGCCGTCCTGTCTCCCCCGCCCGCGCTCTCACCCTATGTTGCTACGTTCCCACGCGTCTCGTCCTCCCCTCCTTCCCGTCGCCTCCTCCGTCTTCCCTTACAGTTGCGTCTCCTCCTCTGTCTGACTTCTTTCGTGCTGCTCGTCCTCTTGTTCCTCGGGTCCTTCCCTCTATCCGTTACCGACCCGTCTGTTCCGGTTTCGAGTCTTGAACCCTTGTCGCTGCGGTCGCTGACTTCGCCTCTACCCGCCGCCTTGACTACGCCACCGCTCTGGTCTCTGACCCTGCCTGTCCTCCGTCTGTCGGGGTGCTCCTGCCCTCGCAGTGACGTCCTGGAGGACCGCCAGTTCGAGCTTGCTTTCCTGTCCGAGGCTGCTCCCCATCTCTGTTCCATGCTGCTAGTCCCTGAGGGTGACCTAGACGCTTTCGACATCCCGACCCCTCGTACTTACGCTGAGGCGGTTTCGGGACCCTGGGCCTCTCAGTGGATAGCTGCCATGGAGCAGGAGATGGCATCTTGGAGATCCACCGGCACCTTCGTCGACGCAGTTCCCCCACCTGGGGTGAACGTAGTCGATGGCCGTGGCTCTTCAAGGTGAAGCGCCCTCCTGGAGAGCCGCCTGTGTTCAAGGCGCGCTACGTGGCTAGAGGTTCAGTCAGCGCGAGGGGGTGGACTTCTTTCAGACTTTCGCTCCTACCCCGAAGATGACTACTCTTCGGGTTCTGCTACACGTAGCGGCTCAGCGTGACTACGAGCTTCACTCCCTCGACTTCTCCACTGCCTTCCTTCAGGGCAGCCTACACGAGCAGGTCTACCTGCGTCGCCCTCAGGGCTTCACTGGCGCCTTCCCTCCTGGGACCCAGTGGCTTCTGCGGCGCCCAGTCTACGGCCTGCGCCAGGCGCCCCGTGAGTGGCATGACACGTTGC